CTAGTACAGGTTCCTTACATACATAAAAGTCTTGAATTCAATATGCTTGAAATTTATAGGGGTTTGCAGATGCTAGTTTCACCCAGCACAATAGGATAAAATGTGGTTCAGTGTGTTGTGTGAGAGTAGACAATTAGGTTAATCCAAACCATGATTCGTTTAACCAGAATTAGCATGTTGTACAACAGACCAAGAATAAACTCAGCAGGGGACTGAATCAGATGTTAACTCCCTTTCTCATATACAATAGTTACAAAACACATGTGGTTACAAACATACTGGTTACTCAAAGTGACATTTTTAATGTGTGCTTGTAACTTTGTGTATATATATAGATTTTTAGGTGAGATGGTAAATGATTTTCCTTCTGAAAATAACTCTTAAACTAATAATTTATTTTGGAGTTATTTGAATTGCATTTTAAAACACTATAAAATTACATTCCACACCACAAAATCTAAATGATGGGGGGAGGGAGGTTTTAAATGTTAAACTCTTCCACATAGTTCACATTTTTTGAACCCAGTATATCAAGAATGGCATTCAGTTGGCTTGCCCGGTTTGTTCACTAATCTTTCAAAGCCACGAGTATCACAGGTGTTGGGCCCAGAGTTCCGGACTGGAATATTCATGTGTCATTATTTGCTTCTGGTAGCACATGCAGGAGTCTTGCTGCTGTGGTAGTTTCCAGCTGTGGTAAAAGTTCCAGCAGTTATGCATGAGAAGCCCATACCTTTCCTACTTGTTTTACAGGAGCTTCTACAGAAAGTGTGAAAAAAATCAAGATGGTGCCTGCACATCTGAAATCTTGTCCTTTTTTTGTTGGGTGTTGCATGTGTGACATCCATAAAAAGCAGCTGGGCTTCATTTGCACAGGCATCATCTTGACTTACTGACACTCCCTCCTCCTACAGACACCCCTGTTTTTCTGTACAGTTTAAGTAAAACTACCACATCATCTTAGAGCAGATTACTTCCAGTCACAAAACATATATTTTGACATATTTGTTGGGGTCTTTTGCGTGACAGGTGTGATGCTGTGCTGGGCTACTTATTTGTGTCCTTGCCCATGGCAGTATAGAACATTTTGTGACTGATCTGGTGTCAGATTCGTGAGAGATTTACACCTTATTTTTAATTATAGCCTGCCAATTTCAGTGGGATTTAGGGCAGACGTACGTATTATGCAGTAGATGTTTAAAAGAAGCCTTAGAAGATGGTGACGGGTGGAGGGGAGGCGACCGGGAGGATAGGAACATTTAATCAATTTTATTCATAACTATTTTTCTGCACAAAAACTGTCTGTATGTTAAGCTGCTTTGACTGGCAAATTAACAAATCAACCTGATGATTTAGAATGCATTTAATAAGCCTCTTTCAAACCAGGAATAATCAGGCCTTCAGACTTCTGGATTGTGTATAGTAAGGCACTCAAATTAATGCCTTATTTGTAACTGGATGGAACATGGTTTGCTCTTCAGTAAAAGGCACAGGATCAGGCTGTAAAACATGTCTTTTTTAAAAAAAGTCATGAAATATTAGCTGTTATTTCAGTTATAAACTCTTTTGCTGTTTATAATGCCTTTGAGGACTGTGGCTGATTTGCACAGGTTACAGGTGCTTACGAGTTTTTGCTCTGAACTTTTGATCTGATGACAAACTGGGATCCTCAGTACTATAGTTTGGTTTTGGTAAATTTCATGCTGTGATACTTAGGATCCAGTATAAATTTGCTAAGGCTGCAATCCTATGCATAGTTTGCTGAGAGTAAGTCTCAATTCATTGGCACTTATAAATATTAAACTGGTTTGTAAGAATTGTAGCTGTTTGTTATAAACATCAATGATTTTGTAAGTATGGATTTTGTACAGGAGACTTAATGGGATTGTCATAGAACACACAGAAATATCTATAATTAGTCTGGTGATATGTTCAAAGTTGGTTTGTCTATGATGCATTATAAATTTATTCAGGGCTTGTTAAACTGTGTATGTTTGGTAATAAAAATGCATGAGGCCTTTAAAAATAGTTACTTACAATGGATGTCCTTGAATGTTAATAAATACACCCTAGCTTCATTTTATAACACAGATGTTGAAGAAGGTTCACTTTTTGTTCATCTATTGTGGATTTTATAAAAACTTGTAAGAAAAGTTTGGAGCTAAGGGAAGCGGGCTTGGAGACCAAGTCTGATGGTTCCTCCCCCAGTTCTTTTTCCGTGGAGCCTGAATTCCCTCTTTGATTGAAAGTAGTTAATGCTAAAAAAAAAATAAGAACCTCATTGAAGAACAATGAAAAAAAAAAACACTGCAGTAAGTACAATATTAATGTAATGTATGAGAGGAGAGAAAAAGTGCATTTGTAGTAACAGGGCATGTGAATGAATAGGGACGTGTTTCTCAACTGTGGCAACTTGAAGATGGGTGGACTTCAGCTCCCAGAATTCCCCAGCCATCATGACTGGCTGAGTAATTCTGGGAGTTGAAGTCCACCCATCTTCAAGTTGCCATAGTTGAGAAACACTGATATAGAATATTGTGGAGTGGACCTCACTGGTTCCACCAAGGTGGTCTCCAAATCTTTTTTTCACCATCCTGCTACAGACTGCCCATTATTCCTGGTTAGAGCTGACTCTTGGTTAGAGAAAGGAAAATCCTGATTTATTCAGGAGGCAAGTACCAATCTTCATTCAGTGACCCGACAGGAGGATACGTCTAAAGGCTGGTCCCTTTCCCCAGAATGAATGTTCCTGCTTTGTTCAAAATTCAAATCTTTGTGTATATCAAGGTCAGAGAACTAGAAGGAACTTGAAAGCACAAAAACAGAAGAGGAAAAAGAAAACAATTCTGAAGTTGCTCCCTCAGCCCCAAATAAAAGGAAACATATTTTGTACCACATCTAGCTTTCATCTTAGCTTTTGCTAAGGCTGAGAAACACTCCTGTCTTTTCATCCAGGAACTCAAGTTGCTGTATAATTCTCTTATCTCCAGTCTGGATTTCTATGCATTGGTTCTTCCTTTCTTACCTGGCACCCAGCCTGTCTTGGAGAATGCTTCAAGCAATAATTTGGTTTCACATATCTTAATCCTAAACCAAGTTTTGCAAGTTTCACTGGATTCTTTATAAAATGAGCCAACCATATTGTGGCTTAGTGTCCTAGGTGGGAATATCCTCAGTCAACAGAACAGAGTTTATGCACCATATTAAACCATAAAATGATTATGGTTTGGGCCAATTGTGGTTTATAGATCATGATTTATGCTTTATTAAATGTATTAACCCAACCAACTAGACTTAGTTAAGACACAAGGGTTAAAAAAAAAAAAAGGCTTAGAGCAGTGTGTGATTTGGGGTTTGTGTCGG